TATGTATTATAATTTTTCCTGGGGTTATCAATGCAAGCCACTTCTATGTCCTAATTTTTTTGGATATTCCTATAACAATATGATGCCTTAGAATCTTGTAGACAGAGTTTACAGACATAACAGTGGACTAATATCAGTTAAAAGGCTTACTGAAATAATTTTGACTTCACACATCTGAAAAAAACAAACCAGTTGGAAATATGTTTTATATGTTTGGAGAAGTTACATGTGGAAAATCAAATAGCATCATATACAAAATAGAATCTAGGGTATCTAGTCAAAAAATGACAGCAACTAACAGCAGTCAAAAAATCTTTAAGTTGATATATATTTTAATTGAATTACATGTAAAAGTTATCATAACCGTTACAGATAGCACGAATGGATTTTGCTTTTGCTTTTTTGCAAGCAAGATTATGTCTCCTTGAAGATCTTTCCTTGAAAATGCAAGAGTGAAGGGGAAGAGAATTTAGACTATAACCACAGAAATAAAAGTCTACCAATAATCATTAAAACAAGAAAAGAGCAACAAAACTAAAATAGAATATAAATATTGACTGCTTGTTTTCAGTTTAGAAATGATCTTCCATATCTATTTCTGCCTTTACCTCCTTCACTGATGTAGATTTCCTGTTAGAGCCTGTTGCTCTTACTGATATCAGCCAATGTGACAGATTTCTAAAAATCAGAATAAAAATATAGTCAGTTAATGTAAAACATACTGAGGTACTGGATCTCTTCTATTCACTCCAATGGGATTGATTTAAATGTGTGGGAATGCACAACTTCAAGGTGTTGCCTGATGTATTACTGCAGGACCCTCCTAAATTTCCGCAGGAACCAGTCATGCCAGTTAAAAATAATATGAATATTTTTACACTCTATTTTGAAAAAGCCTTCAGGGCCACAAAGAATGTCAATCACCACACCTAAAGTGAGTATCAAGAAGATAATGTTATAAAAATCCTCACTGTAAGTAACTTATGTCAGACACTGCCGTATCTCTAGTTGGATAGTTGAAGTAGCCACATATGAACTATGTTCATATAGTCAAGCAGAATATATCTTGGACCTACTATATAGACTTCAGAGCTTTTCAGTTTTTGGCTGATCTTAGTAGATAAATCAAAAACCACCAGTAAACAAGAATATGAACCTATTCCCAAACTGAAAATCAATTGAGAATTGAAGAATCTATTTATATCTATCTACAGTATACCAATACCAGCATTATGAACTAGGATTTTCAAGCTAAAATAAAGTTTTTGTTTTATATTTATATATTTAAATATATACAAATAGTCCTTGGTTTATGACAATTAAGCCCAAAATTTCTGTTGCTAAACAAGACAGTTGTTAAGTGAATTTTGCTCCATTTTATGACTTTTCTTGCCACAACTGTTAAGTTAGTAACACTGTGAGTTTGGCTTCCCCATTGAGTTTGCTTGTCAAAAGATCACAAAAAATGACCATATAACCCCAGGACACTGCTACTTTCATAAATACATGCCAATGGCCAAACATCCAAATTTTGATCATGTGACTTCAGGGATGTTGCATCATGGAAAAATGGTAGTAAGTCACTTTTTTTCAAGTGCTGTTACAACTTTGAACAATCATTAAGTGAATTGGTTGTAAATCAAGGACTACCTGCATATTATTCACTTTTCTAAGATTAACAATAGCCATTATCTTCTTACCATATCATGCAAACATCTATGGAAAATCACAAGCATGTAATGAATGCAAGAGTATCATCAAGTTCATTTTCTCAGCAAGTTAGAGATACACTTTCTTCAGTTAAGAAAGTAATGCATAATTATTGACAGGAATTCATAGCTTTTTTTTACATAAATTAAACTAATCCTCTTTTCAAATCGTCCACATAAATGGCAGTATTTCATATTGTGGCAACATATTTTGCAACTTATGTATGTACTATATTTTACAACTCCTATAAATAGTATTTAAACTCTTACAAAAGAGCAGAGAGAGTCCTCACTTAATGATACTAATTAGGACTGGCTACTTTGCTGGTAAGTGAACCACTAACTACGTGGGAAATCAAATGGGTGCAACTGTGCTTTCTAGCTGGAAAGAGACAAGATTATTCAGTTTGGCTTTTATTTTCCTTCTAACCACTCCTGGCCCTTTGGCATTCTCAATTGCATGGTTACTGTCTTGTACACATCAAAAACAATGTGATTGTGCCGCAGCCTGGGGCTGGAGCCAAAGACATGGTATACAAGCAGCTTACTCTCTTGAAATTCCTTTTTCTTCAATCTCTCTGCTGGGGGCAGAGAGCAAGCAATTTAGTAGGCAAAGTAGGCAACCTCTCCTTTGCTTGAAAAGGTTTGCCTTCTTTCTGTCACTGAGATTGCATTGCTTTTGATGTATACAAGAGTAAACGGCTTACTCTCTTGCAAAGGACAGATTACTTACTGAAATCGCTTGCTCATTTTCTCTCTCTCACCTTGAGAGTAAAATAGAGGAAGAACATAGACAGACACCAGAGATGTTCTGTCTATAATGGTGATCACATGACTGAGAGATGCTGAGAAGAATGGACTATAAAGTTTTTTAAAGCACTATTTTAACTTTAAACAATCACTGAATGAATGGTTCGTAAGTAAGGAGTATGTATAATTAGAAGAAAAAAAGACTCTTGGAACAGGAGACAAGATAGCCAATCCTGGGAGGACAGAAGGAATGTAAGTGCCCCTGTAAGAAAAAGAGTCATGATAATTGATGACTTTGCTAATTTATTTCCCAGAGGTTTTAAAGACATTGAAGTGCCTCATCAATGGGCCCCTTGGCAAACCAATTCTATCTCCTAAAATTTATTTCCGTAAAGCAGTCTTAAATAAAGGAATGAAACATTTAGCACTGATATTTTAAAAAGATTTAGGCACAGCAGGTTGTAATCCCAATTTTTTTTCAAGTTGTTCACAAGTGGTCTGGTCATAAGTGCATTTTTATTTATTTACACACACGAGTTTGATTTGCTTTACTTATCTAAGTAAATAAAGGTTAAAGTAAAAGTTATGAGAAAGAGAGGAAGAGGGAGAGGGGGGGAGGGCGGGAGAGAGATTGAGTGGAGACTATGATTAAACTGTTAGCCCTCTCAGGTAAACCAAATAGAAAACAGAACCAGATGATAAGGCTACATTGACAGAATCTTGCAAGTCTGAAAGTACAGATCTCCTACCATCTCTTTTTACAGCCTGATCAATTAGAGTAGATCGTTCCTAAGTTTCTCTTCTTGTCTGACTGTTCCCTAGACAGCATCTTTTCTATTGTGTCTCAAGATCATTCCCACATACCATTACATAAGCCAAGCATCCATTCATTTCTCTTCTTTTTATTTAACTGAACTGCATCCTATTTATGGCCAATTCTCTTGCAATCAAAAACAAGCCTTTTGTTTTAGCCATTGTTAATTGGTAAGCTCACTGGTTCAAGTTGTTTTTCTCAAGCTTTTTATTTTGGAAGAACATTTAAAATATTTTTCAGGTCTCAGGTAACCCCTGCATAAAAATCTAAAGAAACCTTTGAAAACTTCAAAATGCAACTCACTTCTAACCTACACTCTAGCTTTACAATGTTTATTACAAAACAAAAGAGCAGGCTGGCAGCTGAGTCCTGGTTCATAAAAATCCCCATCAATACAATTGCTAATATTACATGGCATGGGAAATTTAAAGTTTTTCTGCCAATCACAAAGTCTCATAGAATCCCAGAGTTTTGCAGTTGAAAAAAACTAGAATTGAGTACCGAACTTACACGATCAACAGAGACACTTTAACCTGAGTAAATTTCAATATATTACACGTAACTCCTAGTTGGTGCTATGCAGACATCATGTTTGCTTGCAAGACAGACTCTAGTTTAGAGATCCTAGATTGTACAGAATATTGTAAGCATGCTGTGACAATAACTGAACTCAAATTACACCAGTGGCATATTGACCACAATTAGCAAAGGACACAAATGATCAGATGTTTTGACTAGGAGACAGATTATTGTTACTGTCAAGAGTGAACTATGGAAAAATAGACACTGAAGAAAAGGAAAGATGGGAAAGAAAGTAGGACAGAAGGGAGAGAGAGTTTTCTTTGTTACATGTTAGTATTTTATAATTGACATATTGTTTTCCTTTTAGTTTGGAATTTCTAAAGCAGTTTTTCAAGTTATCCACAACATCTTCAGAATAAGAAGTATTATAGTACCAAAGACTCAAACAGCTGTATATGACAGAAAAAAATGCAGGAAACATTGCAAGTTCACTTAAAATAAATAAATAAATACTAAAGTATGAAGATACTGGTAGACACTAGTGGTTCATTTTGAGGAATCAATGTTTGTTGAAATTAACTGAAAATAGTTGTTAACAAGGTTAGACTTCTGCCCATTTTGTTATAAAGAGGTGACTTTGCTTATGCCAGAAGAAACAAAAGTTGAATGCAGTAGGAAATGGGTTATTTAAGAATTAGACCTGGTAAATATGGATATAGGGAACAGATGAATAAGTAATGAATTAATATGGGTTTAATATAAAAGCTAGCGATCAGCAGAAAGAATTCAGGTACTCTGATCATATAGACAGAATAAATGAAAATCAAATTACAAGTAGTCCTCAATTTACAACCAGTTACTTAGCAACCACTCAAAGTTACAACCTACCTGAAAAGGGAACTTACAACCTGGACCCAATGTTCTGATGGTCATACAGTCCCTGCAGTCACATGACCACACTTCAGGCACTCAGCAACATGGCCGCATTTACAGCTATTTGCAGCATTCCACATGATATGACCATGTTTTACAAAGGTTTTGCTGAAAACTGGCATTTCTGGTTTTCAACAAAACTGGACCTATAGTAAATAGGTTTGCACTTATGACCACTGTGTTTGCTTAATATTCACACTTAAAACTGCTTTATTCACTTAACAACTGTTGCAAAAAGTCTTAAAATCAGTTTTACAACCATTACAACTTACCACTATAATGGGCAGGCTCCATTACTGTCATAACTCAAGGACTATCTGTACAAATTAAAATAAATGAAGAACAGTGAATGGATTGAAAAGCAGAACATCAAAAAAGATATAGGTGGTTAAAGTGTATAAGATTCTCAGAAAGTAAGATTAAAGAAATGATTAAAGTAAACCCATGATTTGAGGTGTATGTACTGTATGTATGTATGTGTTGGAAGCGATCGGTTGCAAGAGCAGTCATTATAAGATTTTGTTAGATTTCCTTATCTCTGCTACTAATTTTTTTTTACTTACTACCTCTTATACTTTTTCTGCTCTTTGCATATTATGGATGAGTATGTAAGGGAATAGTATGATGTATGTATGTATCTCAGCTGTCCCGAACCTTTCCGGCTTTAAGGACCGGGGGGGCGGGGGGCGGAGGGAATGGTTCTGTGTAAGCTTCGGGTAAGCGCATGCACACAGGTCTATTTACATGAGCACAGGGCATGTGTGTCTGCTGCTCACGCAAATGAAGTTGCATGCGCTCACCCACTGCTTCTTTGGCCTGTTTCCAAACTTATCTGCTGCTTGTGCAAATGGAGCTGCATGTGTGCACGCTCACCCGCTGCTCGCACAAGTGGAGCTGAGCCTGCACATGCTTGCCCATTTCCATGACTGATTCCAAACTTGCCCACCGCTCGCATAAATTGAGCTTTGTGTGTGCACGCTTGCCCGCTGCTCACATGTGGAACTGCGCCTGCGTATGCTCACCTGCTGCTTCTGCTGCCCGGTTCCAAATGGGCTGCAACCGGGTAGTGGGCTGTGGCCTGGGGGTTGAGGGCCCCTGATGTATCCTGCTACCTATGGATTGGAAAATATACCTTTTCCTAAACTAGAATCAGATTCGCCATCACAGGTCTAAGTGATCAACTCTTACATCATCAATACCAAAATATTCTTATTAAGGCATTAAATTTAGAATTCATCTTGTCTGAACTGAAAGTGAATAACTTTCCTTATTAAAATGGGAAAAGAAAAAAGTTTTTTCTTCCTTTTCTAACATGTTTATTTTTTTAAAAAAGAACCTTTTTATGCAACTTAGAATCACAAACTGTGAATAGGCAGCCTTATAAATCTTTTAAATAAATAAGCAGTTAATTTCTCCCAAAAACATTTCCCATGGCAGACAAAACATTCCAAATGTGAGCTAGAGTTAGGTTTAATTTATGATTAGAATTATGCCAAACCACATTTCCAGCTAGTTTAGGAAAGCCTAACAACAATTCAGGAATGCGAAAGCAAACAAGCTATATTGGATTTTGATATAAGAAAATTAGCTGCCTTTCCAAACATCATTATTCAAACCAGTTAAAATATGACAGCAACAAAATAACCATTTTTAAAACCAATGCAAATCACAGTATGATACATAAATTACTAAGTATTAATTTTAATGAGATATTTAAGCATATTGCTCTTAATTTAGATTGTTTTTTCAAGTGTTTTTACTGTTAATTGTTTTCCAACCAGAGTTAGGCATATAATACGGGAAACCATATAAATTAAATAAGTAAGCATCAATAATATGGCATATTGAAATCAAAGGCGGCCATATTTTTTGTGACCAATAGAATGTCTGCTCAGAAATATATCCCATTGATTTCAATGTAATTTATTTCTAGGTATGTATAAGATTGTCTTAACTATACTACTACAATGTCTTAGTAACATTAGTTGAGAAAGAACTTTTTTTAAAAATCTCAAACCTATTATCTTGGAGCAGCAGCTGAGTATGCATAGCAAGAGATTTCATGAGAAACTTTGATCTGAGTATTAAGAACATGGCTGAAGTCCATTGTTTGTTTACATTTGTGACTCACTGGTATGGAACAAATCATATGCACTGCTATTTCCAAATCATCTGCTTTTAAAAATCAAGATTTCAACAAAATGCTTTTAAATTAGAAAACTTTTAACTATTAAACTTAATCCAGAATTTTTGATAGAGAATGGATATTAATACTGCTTTATCCTTTCACTTCAGCAACAGCAATTCACCAGATAATTAACTGACTAATCAGTTTAAAGAAAATAAATATCAACAGACAATATATTATTTTAAAAATATCCATTAAATGTTTTTCCAGGTACACTTAATTAAAAAGACAATGCTCTATCTTGTTATCCTAGCTTGCATTTACATTTGTTGGAGATAGCAGAGATAGCATCCTTTGTGAACAGAAACAAACAAAGCTACTAAGCCTTTTGACCACCACAAATAAGCCAATCCCTTACACATTTTTCTTTTATAGTAAAATATAGGGAATTTTCATTTAAATAATGCTAATCAAGTACTATAGAAAGAAAATGATTTTTAATTCAAGGAAAACAAAATACTTTACTAGAACCTGAAACTTTTTGGAAATTTGGCTTAAAACAGCAAAGATTATGCCTATTGCTTTTTGCAAGACAAGATATAATGAGAAATCATTAATGTATAATAAAAACTCATCTACCAATTATGTCAATGCAGGCATATATTAAGGAAAGGCTAAATTGCTTCAATTTTCTTGAGTCTCGACACAATCAATCCGGGGAATAACTTGAAGCTTTTGGAATTACCAGGATACAATCAGAGGCGCAATGCACATGTTCTTTGAGGTTTCTTCACAATTATTTTATCAAGCCAACTTTTCCTTAGAACTATTCACTCAACACCAGAAAAATTACAAAAATCCCTTGCTGTATGCAGTGGTGGTTGGGCGAACGGTCGTAATTCCTTTTGCAAAAACAGGTTAGAACTTAATAGCTTTACAAGGCCAATTCGCCAAAGATAGGGCTTCCAGTAGGTCAGAGAAAGAAGTAAGGCAGGATTAAGGGCAGGATGCACCGAAATAGACTCTGGGCAAGGCAGCAATAGAAATAGCTGCATCCAGGAATCCTGAGAGACAGAAACTAACTTGGTCTCTCCCTCGTTCGTGCCAGACACCCAGGAAGCAGCCTTTAAAAAAACCAACAAACCGTGAGTTCCCACATACCTGGCGATCACTGCAGGATTAAACTGTTGCATGTATCAAGGCAGCCGCTAGTAAACATTCGAGGGAAAGATCAGGACGTGAAAGAGCCCTTTACAATCCCTACTCGGGAACGGAGAGCGAGCAAAACACAAACACAATCAGGAAGAAAAAAAAAAAAAAGCCAGAGGGAAAAGGCGGGGCTGGGGGCGAACGCAGGAGACGACCAGGCTGAAAGTTCGCGCGCGCACAGCACCCGGTGGGGTGGGGGCTAGGAAAAGGAGCGCAGTGCGGGGGGGGGGGGAGAGAGAGGGAGAGGGAGGGGAGGAGCAGCAACCTGTGGGGGCCCCCAAAGGGGAAGCAGCCCCCCCCCCATAGGGACCATAGGGATTCAACAAAGGCGGCGAAGGAAGGTATGTGGGGCGAATGCCAGGCGCCCTTGGGGTTCCCTAGAGACGACGGCACCTGTCAGGCAGCAGCAGGTCCAAAGAGGGGAAGCGGGGCCTCACCTTCACGTTCCTACCGCCAGCAATGCCGGACGAGGCATAGCCCAGGTGCCAGGCGAAAGCGAGAGGCACGCAAGCTCCCGCTCCACTCCGGAGCTCTCCCAACAAGAGGCGACGAAGGTGGTGGTGGTGGTGGTGGGAAGAGAAACTCCCCGGTTTTGCCTCCGCCGCCGAGCGAGAGTCAGCCAAGCACCGCAACTTCGGCCACCTCCCGTGCCGGATTCCGACCACAAAACCGCCGTCCCACTAGCCCCCACCACCACCACTTCCCACACCCCCCGCGCGCATGTGCACAGCAGCTTCGCCCGCCCTCCCGAGCCTCAAGCCCCGCCTCGCAAGGGCGCGAGGCGGTGATTGGGGAGGTGCGCCACTCCCCGGGCCGCGGAGCTTTGCGTGACGTCGCGACGGCCCCGAACGAACTTGCCCCGCCCTCGGTAGCCTCTCTCTCTCTCTCTCTCTCCGGCTTTGCTTGATTGACCGACGTCCCGCTGGGTGTCTTTAGGTAGCTGCCTCCACTCCCCCCCCCCCACCCGCCTCTGTCCAAACAGGGTCGGTGACGTTTCTCATAGCTGTATTTCCGTGGTGACGGCAGGCTGCAGACCAGTTATACTTCTCACGCTTTTAAGTGGACCTGCCTAGAGGAGCTTTGAAATGTTTGTAATGTTTATAATGTTCAGCCCTTCTAATTTGTGAAATGGTTTAATCAAGCATCACCTCTCTCAAAGGAGGCCCTTGGAGGATTAGAGGGAAAATGTAAGTTTAGAGTATGGTGAGCATATTTTTTTGGGAAAATGGGCAAACCTGGAAAACGGGCAAATCTGAAAATTTATCCTTTTTATAAGGATAAAAAAAAAATCTAATCGTTGATATCTTTACTTTTGAAGGGCAATTCGAGAGCAAACCCAAGAAAAAGTTTACAAAAAATGTTTATTGGAGCAAAATTATCTAAAAAGCATGCAAAGCTCTGAAGTTACACATAAGCATTGAAGAGATTTTATGCAATTAGTCTGCATGAAGTGGTATCATTTCTACAGGAAAAGTAAATGGCAAAAAGTTTCCGAAAAATAAATCTAAAGGACAACTTTCTGTAGTAAATAACTGCCCTTTACAGTAATTGACATATGGTCATTGTAGTTTAAACTAATAATTAAAAACTATCACAATTAGGAAGGAAAATGTTTTTTATTTTATTTTATTTTTTTTATTCTCTCTAGCCATTTGTTTCTACTAAAACAGCCCAAAGAAGAATATGTGTCACCTGTGAATGTGGCAGTGGAGAAAATGTGTGGTCCTTCCAGTGTTCATGCATATTTGTTTCAGCATATTCTTTCAGTAAGCTAAAGAGGAACTATCAGTCTATAACTCTCCTGCAACTGATTGTGATGTAATAATTCACTTACTGCAGAATTTTTCATAATGACACATCATTATCTGTGTTTTTTAAAGTACAGTCTGGAAAATGCCTACAGCAAATACAATTTCTGTTTCCTAGATGATACATCCTGTTGCCTCTTTAAAGAATATTCTTTGCATTATGTTCAGGAGTTAGTTTCTGATGATGTGAATTTTATGAAATTATATACACTTGTTTTCCCCAAAATAAGACATCCCCTGATAATAAGCCCAATTGGGCTTTTGAGCACATGGCATTAAGGCCAAGCGCCTATTTCAGGGTTCAAAAAAATATAAGGCAGGGTCTTATTTTCAGGGAAACACGGTATTGGGCATTAAATCATGAATCACAAAACATGACTTTCCCATAAAAAGTTAGGATGCGCATGATTCTGAGTTCAGTTTTATTGGCAATAATATGTAAATAGTCTGCTATTATTTTTTTCTAGCTTTTAAAAAAAACTTTCCAGTCTTAATATACAGTGCTGGTAGACTTCCTGGAAATCTCCCATTCTAGACTTGGCCTTGTCTAACTTTCAAGCTTTGATAAAATCAGCCTGCTATGTGTGCTATTTTGGGGAGGGAATACTTGTCAGAAAAAGTCCACAAGATGTGAAAAAAACTGGATGGCAAAGAAGGGATAAATGGAGCACATGCATTCGTCAGCTTCCAGCTGCCCACTGTTGAATCCAACTTCACCAGGAAAATGCTTGCTCAGTAACCTGAGGTCCAAGGCTTTGTAGTTTCCGACATTTAGAAAAAAACCAGGCCATTTCCTCTCTCACTAAATGCTTCCATCAGTTCAAGATAAAATTGGTCCTTAGTACTTTGGCAGCAAAAGGACAGGCAGTAAGGGAAATGAAAAATCAGCTGATATTTTCATTCCAGCTTCTGGAGTTCCAACTACTGGCACTCTTATTCATATTTCAACTGCTGCTACTACTTCTCAGTATCTCTCTTCAGTTTTTCTCAGTGGAAGCAAATCTATATCTTTTGTTTGTTTTCATTGCTACTGTTCTTGTATACTTGCAAATATAGGTAGTCCTCACCACTGCAATTGAGCCCAAAATTTAACAACTGTTAAGTGAATCTGACTTCCATATTGACTTTGCTTGTTAGAAGGTGGCAGAAGTGATCACATGACTCCAGGACAGTGCAACCGGCATAAATATGAGCCAGTTGCCAAGCATCTGAATTTTGATCACTGACCATGGGGATGCCGCAACGGTCGTAAATATGAAAAACAGTCATAAGTCACTTTGTTCAGTGCCGTTGTAACTTTGAACGATCACTAAACGAACTGTTGTTAAGTCAAGGACTATCTGTAAAGCCATTTTTAAAAAATATTACAGTGATCTTTCTTCCAAGTAATGCCAGTGCTGGAACTTCTTCACACTGAGAGAGATTGAGAAAGCATAGCAATAGGTAAGCACTCATGAAATTCCATGAGAAATATAGGAGTAGTTTTGGGGGGGGGGAAATAGGATACATAGTAGAAGTGGAAAATCAGTGGCTGAATCATAGAATGGTTTAATTATTTATGGTTTCCTTTGTTCTGGAAACAAATATAGCTTATTCAGTAAACCATGAATAAAGAAATCTTAGTTTATTGTATTGACTGGATAAATAAATCAATCAATTTGATATATTCAAAGTGGGAAAATGTTTCTATGGTATACCTGTCTGGCTGTTTACAAATTTGTTTGATAAGTGACCATGAGCATCAGTAAAATATTTTTATTGGGGTTAAAATTAGGAATCAAGGTTTTTCAATACAAAATTATAGAAAAATGATTAAATTCTATGTTGCAAGTAGACTTGATTCAATCATAAATGTAAAGATATTTCCAAATAAACTATATAAAATGGTAGGAAATATATTAAGCATGCACAAGTTTTATAGCAAAACTTTGGAAAGAAATCCAGACAACGATCAGTTGTAAATGATAAGGAAAGAAAAATTCACCATTGCCTTTAATATACAAAATAAAAGCATTTTTTAAAAAGCAGATTTTTGCTTTTTTTAAACAATACAAACTAGAAAGGCGCCTTTAGAACATTAAAAGGCTTTTGATATTAGAAAAAGGATACCAGAAAATGTGGAAAGAGATACCATGATTTTATGAAACAGTGAATAATGAATAAGTCTTTAATAATTAATTACATTAAATTAATTAATTAATTAATTAAAATTCATACATTTTTGTTAAGGAAGTGTGATTTAATTTGTGTTTATTTTCTCTTGGTTTTTTTTTTTAGTTTTTGTATATTGTAGATAAATAATTTAATCAGAATGAAATAAAGAATTAACAGCAGTAGTCAGGTACACTCATTTTTCTTGTGGGTAAATTATTTTTTAAAAAACCCAAAATGCACACTGATATTTCAATAGTTTTATATACTGAAAGGGAACACTCATACAGTTTCTGACTTTCACTTCATTTTCCCATCTGATCACCTTGTTTTCTTCTTTCAATTTGCATCTTCAGCTTAGTTTCTTTTCATATCATTTATATGACAGCACAGTTTTTCAATATTATTTGTTATAAAGTAGTTCAGAGTGACTGATATTTTTTAGGATTCCTGTAAAAAAACAGGAGGAACATGAGGAAAATATAGCCCAGAGAAACAGATTAAAAAGTAAGAGAAAAAGAAGAGAAATAGAGGAAAAAGCATCAAAAGGAAGTATGCGTGTATAGCCGGATTGGGCAGGGCTTTGAGGATTTGAGGATTTAGACAAAACTGACTTTCGTTTTCCCAACTTTAGTCAACTATCAGTCTTTTAAAGTTGTTAATTAATGTTTATAATTAGAACTATACCTGCTTACAAGCTAGTTGTTCTCTTTCATCCATTTCAAAGATACATGAGAATTGCTATCCCTAGGTTGAAAGGATAGTTTTTAAAACATCAATTGTTTTATCAATTATAAATTGCTGCTGTGTATCTCAGTTATTTGGTGTAACACGAACATAGCTAAGATAGTTCTGTGAAATACAATTTTAAAAGTAGATCTTATGGCTGTTGAAAAACTGGGGAAAGCACTGTTTTGAAAACAAATGAACTCCTTGGCATGCATGTATTGAGAAGAATATATCAAAGAAATGGGGTGTATGTGTGAAGTGTGGTAGAGGATCTGAGGTACAAGAAAACTGTAAATTTTTGAAAGCATAGTGATTTAAAGCAGAAGTGGGAAAGAAAGGGTAATCAGGGGGAAAACAGCTACACTGGAAATTACTAAAGAATTTGAGAAATCCAGGACAGCAAGAAAAAGCAATGGTGTGGAAAAAGGTTGAGGAAAGAAAAGAAAGATAATGAGGAAAGAGTCAGTTTTTACTATCTATAGAAGTGATCTGCAAATACAAATATATGTATATATATCTATCCACATTTATTTATTTTTATACAGTGGTACCTCAGTACTCATCGTTAATTGGTTCTGGGAGGTGTAATGAGTACAATTTTTCTCATAAGGTAAAATATAGTGAGTCACAAGGCAGCCGAACATAGTTCTAGCTTTTGCGCTGAGTAACGAACAATGAGTGGTTGTGAGTTTTTAAAAATAGAATATTGTAAATATGACTGCATACAATTTATGCAATGAAAATTAAATTACACAGAATTAAAATTATAACTGATAAGCCACAGACAATGATAAAAAAGATTAATGTTTCTACAACTTAGACCCGAAATAAAAAGTGCCATCACCTCCATTCAACTTCTGTGAGCACAATGCAAATAGAGATCCTGAGAATAAAATTTGAGTACTGGGATGTTTCTTGTTATCTGAGTAAGCAAGATACTAGGCACTTGACATATAATTCTATCAATACACATTGTTAGTGCCACTTCTTACCCCATTTGCATTCTATGCTTCCAATATATATTGTGTATATAATCAGGAGTTCTATTTATGTTATACACATTCTTTCATACGTTTAAAAGATTGGTTTCATAAAGATTTGCTGAGATACATACATAGGAATAGGAATGTGGATTTGAATTACTGGTACTGTTGTTAGAGTCATAGAACATGAGTATTCAGAAGAAACTACCGGTACTATGAAAAGAATTTACTAATGAATTATGTTAATAAAGCTCATTTTGATTGGTTTTCAATCAATAACACCATTCAAATGTCAGCAAAGTTTTAAGGGTCTTTATGTCTTCACTGGGTTTTTTCCCTCTATCCCAGGCCTTTTCAGGAAATGTTGTCTCTCCCATGTTTTCTTCCATCTAAATGTCAAGCTGCCTCATCATGAGAGGATCATGTTGTAGTACTATGGGTTAGCTTCCATTATCTGATTGGCTTTTCATAAGCCTGCTTGTGAGTCACTGACTAATTTGAAAAGTTGAGTTGGAGAGGTTTTTTTTTTTTGTAATTGAAAGACAGACTTTTAATGCTTAGGCGTTTAAAATAGAGTTTCTGATTAAAGAATGGATGTTTTTCTGATTTCTTTGCTTTTGCAGGGAAAATGTGCTTGATGTCCAACCTTCTAGTCACTTATTATGATTTTCATGAATGAGCCTTTGATAGAACTAACCATTCTCTTTCTATTTTAAAAGCTACTTAGCTATTATTAAATATATAAGTTGTTTCATAAGATTCACAGAGAAATCACCAATATATACAAGTATCTGAAAGTATGCATGGCTCACATTAGATCAGTATTTCTCAACTTCAACAACCAGAATTCTCCAGCCAGCATAACCATTGCTAAGAATTCTAGGAATTTAATGCACTCATATCAGAGTTGCACAGATTGCGAAATACTGCTTTAGATGAAGAGAAGGGCTACTGATGTCATTCTCTGAGTAAATCTTCTGTGATTTTGGTTCAATTTGAGTTGATGAATTGGATAGAATCTGCATTGTATGTTCAGAAGCCTTCTTATTGAATCGTTATTGCTCAAATTTTACAGATGAAAATAATACAAATTTGATTTACAACATTGGATAATGTGACGATTTTCTCAAGTGGAAGCAAAATTCCAGCTCTACCACTGTTTCAAACTTGTGTATTGTAAGCACAACATATGTATTCCTTATATGAATAGTCAATCCCAGGTATGATAATTTTAAACAGCACCATTGATAATTGTGGAGGGAAAAAAAAATGAGAAAAGGTGGTCTTCAGAATTGCAGTAATTATTGGGTTTTTGATTTTTGGCTTTGATTGCTTAAAATGATTCTTATGCTGAAATATTATGGAAAGTTTAAATATACCCCAATCTAAACTGTCAGGCTAAATGCATGAATAGCATTCCTGGGAACGTTATCAGTTAGATCTACCACGCCTCTAGAAAAGCCCAAATCCAGCCAGAAATTTGAAATACTCAAAAAGTCTGATGAGTCAGAATCAGGGTCTTGATTCTGCTCAGATGTAGGCCTTAAACCATCCATGTAATTATTAGTGGTTGCCTGGTTGCAGTTGGCAGTTAAGAATGGTTGGCAGTGACAATGGTGACAATGAAAAGGTGCAGGACTTAATTATGAGGTTACTTTGGTAATTTAATATGCAAAGATCCAGGTAGTTTCCACAGCCTGATTCAGCAGATGAAAATTTTGAGATTGGGGAGAAATGGCTTTGTTCTCCAGATACAAAAAGAGAATAGCGAGGAGTTTATTGTTCCCAGTCTTGGAAGTATGGGGTTAAACTCAGTGGATAATTTTGGGAGAGAAAGTGATACACATCAGGTCTGAGCAGAATCAATCAGAATAGAGCTGGAAGGGGCCTTGGAGGTCTTCTAGTCTAACCCCCTGCTCAAGCAGAAGACCCTATACCATTTCAGACAAGTGGCTGTCCAGTCTCTTCTTAAAGACCTCCAGTGATGAAGCACCTACAATTTCTGAAGACAAACCGTTCCACTGGTTAATTGTTCTCACTGTTAGGAAGTTTCTCCTTAATTCCAGGTTGCTTCTTTCCTGGATTAGTTTCAATCCATCGTTTCTTGTCTTGCCTTCTGGTGCTTTGTAAAGTAAGTTGAACCCCTCTTCTTTGTGGGAGCCCCTCAAATACTGGAATACTGCTATCATGTCATCCCTGGTCCTTTTTTTCCTCTAGACTAGTCATACCCAATTCCTGCAACCCTTCTTCATATGTTTTTATCCCCAGGCCCTTAATAATCTTAGTTGCTTTTCTTTGCACTTTTTCCAAAATCTCAACATCTTTTTTGTAATGTGACCACAACTGGATGCAGTCTTGCAAGTGTGGTCTTACTAAGGATTTATAAAGCGGTACGAATAACTTCACATGATTTTGATTCTATGCCTCTGTTTATACAACCAGGGATTATATTAGCTTTTTTGGCTGCTGTTGCACACTGCAGGCTCATGTTTAAGTGATCATATACTAGGACTCCAAGGTCCCTCTCATAGTTACTGTTTTTGAGCCAGGTTTTTGCATAATCCGTACTCATTTATTAATATTTAGGATTACTCAAGGATGCCTAGGACACCAGAATTGGGGATGTGGCAAGTATGGTTTTGTGCCTTCTCAAGGTGGATAAGGGGGCTTGAGGGATAAGAAGCCTGATAAAGGAATGTCATGTTAAAGGTAAAGAGATGATAAGTTCATGTAGAGAGCTATGTTTCATTTCTCTCTGTGAGTAAATAATGAGTTTGGGTGCAGAAAGGATAATTGGTGCTGATGCTGTAGTTGTGATGATGAAATGTGCTGTGAAAAAGAATTAAAACCAGGAAAGACTGGTGAGGGAAAAGTGCATTGATCAGTGCCACAAGGGAGTATTATGGAACTGGAATGATGAAAGGAATAGAAATGTAGAGGAATTGAAAGGATCTGAGACTTTCCTCAGGAATAATGGGTAGGTAGATATCATTTATGCTAATATCATTTATGCTAATATTCCAAGCAAAGGTATGGGTTGAGGAAGTTGGGACCAACTGACTAAAAATGTTCAAATCAGTAACTAAATATGTCCTCTTTATTGTACTTTAAGGTTTAGTAGTCTTAATACTAGTAGTGTTTATTTGATTTTACTCAGAATAAAATATACAGTCTGTCATGCAAAACACTTCCGGCTTACATGCAGTGTTAAATGTATTTTAGGTACAATAAAAAGTGCAGTAAGAAATAATAAAATGTAATAAAACCAGTAGCCATGAACAATTTTAGAGGCTTCCTAAAATGCCAAAGCAAATTTAAAATTCATCATGTGCTTAAATTGTAATAAAGCCAGCGCATAGCCTATTTCTAAGAGAGACTGTCTATAGCATGAGTGCCATAAGAGAAAAAGTTTCCTGCTGATGCCAAACATAAATTCACGGGACATTGCCCAGCAACAAAAGCTTCTAATGATTTCAGCGGCCTGTCAAAGATATATAGGAAGAAGTATTTTCTCCTGTGCGGAAGCGCAAGACTTTATAAATGATTAAGAATGCTTAAGACTGCTGCCTTTCACTCTAGCTGCAGCTTCCAGACTATGCGGAAAGATGCCATACCAAATTGCATTACAGAGAGTCCTTGACTTATAGCTGTTTGTTTAACAACGGTACAAAGTTAACAATGGCCTCAGAAAAAGTGGTCTATGACCTGTCCTTGCACCTATGACCATTGCACCACCCCTGTGCCACATGATCTCAATACAGGCATTTTTGGAAACCCAACTTGCATTTATGACCAATTGCAGCATTCTGTGGTCACATGATCATGATTTGCAACCTTTCCAATCTGTTTCGGGCAAGCGGTATGTCAACTGGGGAAGCTGGATTGCTAGATGAGTGCGTGAGTTGCTTAATGGCCATGATAAAAATGGTTGTAAGTGGGTCCGATCACGTGATGCCTCACTTTACGGCTGCACCAACTTAATGATGGAAATCCTGGCCCCAGTTATGGTTGTAAGTTGAGGACCACCTGTACATTTTTCTTACTTTAAGTTACCCACTGAATAAATCACTAAAGGTAAGTCAATCTTGTTCAGGAATTGATACTGCATATAAGGCAGAGGTGGTAAAAAAAATGCTCTTTATCGCTGCAAGATCTTGATACTTTCACAGTTGCATAATTCTGAGAGCCGTTTTAAATTGTATATTCCTATTTCTCCCCTGGGGTACAAAGCTATTTCTTTAACCTGGAAACTGCCTGTTCCTAAGAGCTTTCCAGGGTTCCAGACTTTGCCTGCCTAATCCACTTTGATATGAAGTTTATTCCTACCTGAAGACTGCAGTCGTTTTTCACTTCTGGAAAAAGGAGCCCTTTCCCTGCAAGCAATAAGGACAGTCAAAACTAGTAAGATTCTATTTGTGAGGATTTAAGGAAGATTTATAAGTTAAAGCTGAATTACACACAGCAGCAAATAGATATTCCTTGCTTTTATTAAACAAAGCAGGAGCATTTGAAGTAGATAAGAAAAATCAAAGTTGTAATGGCTTTGAAGGAATCAAGCCCCATGTTTTGCCATAAGAAGAGTTCATTGTGTGTGGGGAGCTGGCTTACTCATCTCCTTTCAGTGCCGTTTCCTTACAAATTTCCCTGATTCACGTCAACAATATTGGAATCTCTCCCAAACCTATGATTAGGAACCATTGTTGCTGATTTAAAAGTTTGTATAGCTGTTTATTTAGGAGGTTTAAAAAAATTGTAGGCCTCTTTGCAGTGTGATAAACAGTTCCAGAAGAACACGAGGCTATTTATTGATATTTGCTTCGTATTAAAATGCTTTTGCCCAATTTACTACTTCAGGTAAGCTATATTTACAGGCACTTTTATCATTCTTTGCAGAATTAATCAATTTGTAATCAATAGAGAAGAAAGGCTCATATCTTGCAGTTCCAAATTCCAATACGAATTCCTTCCTCTGCAGAAAATGTGAAATTCTAAATTGTTCATGTCAGCTAGGGATTATGGGAAGTGAATTTCAAATAATTGGAGGCCATCAAATTGGGTGCTGCGGCTGTATTTTATTACATTGTTTGGGTACATTTTTAATTTTTTCCCCAAATGCAAGTTAAAAGAATATTAAGAAAATTGAGATTGTACAACTAGTAAATGTTAGATGGTTGCTCTTTTAAAATAGTTACCTATGTAATGCAAAATGTCCACTGTTCAAAGTTGATAATAAATCTGAATATAAACTCACTTTAGTTTTAGATTTATATTACTTTCATTTTAGACATTCAGATGTAGATTTATCTTTTGGTAATTTCTTCTTTCTGATCTAGATCTAAATTCTAAATCCTATGGTTCACCATCCCTTTGGTGTGCTTTATAAATGGGGTCTTAGGACCAAGGAATATGTAAAGTGCTCCAATAGCTGCATTACAAACCAGATGTACTGGTATAAAAACTCTATGCTGAAACAGAAGATGGAAAATGTATGTATTGTACATATGCCTGCACATATCCGTATGTCTCTGTGTGTGTGTATGCACATCAATCTATATTCACTTACCTAGACCTTTTCTTTCTGGTAGGGGTCCCCCTTAATTCTTGACTGAATTTGTTTTGTTTCACTGAGTCTGCATGGGGCTGTTTCATGTAGCTGTCAGAAGAAACTATTGGTTGGCTCTTGTTCTGAAATTGTGCAATAGAACCCACAACATCTGAATAGGTGACACGCTTGGAAGATGGTTTCTTACTGAGTTCTGTTGACTCTTGACTGGCTGTTTGATTTTTAAGAGGTTCTATTGTGTTTTTTTCCTGAGGAAGAAGGAACAAGAAAGCATACATCATCATGCCTTATGTCGCAAAAACTGAACACCTGGTATAAAACTCAGTACAGTAAAACTACCGTGAGTTTCTGTGAATTTGCTATGGAAATGATTCAGAGTGCAACCTAGAATATTTGACCCAAATATTTTCCTGTAGATTAGGAAGAATGAGAGGCACAACATGAGAAACAGAAAAGACTATATGAAATCACATTATCAATATTTTAATATGATTTAAACTATTATTAAATTTGATATTTGTAAGTATGATTTCTGTCCCAAAGGTGCTTTTTCACTTCTCATGAGAAGCGAAACGTCTTCAAAGAAAAACCAGAAAGTCCAGTTGCCTCTTGAAAAAGCATCTTTGGGACAACCATGACCTGGATAACAGAATCTCCATAGATAAGTATGATTTATATTTAAATGTGTTGTCACTGAGCATATCATAACATTGACGGCTGGCGTGCCTGGAGAGATGGCTCTGCGTGCCACTTCCGGCATGTGTGCCATAGGTTCACCATCACAGATATATAAGGTACTTTCCCTAATATGGTAAAGTGAACAAGGAATTGATATCAACATTACTTTTTAAAAAAAATCTATTTTACAAAAGCACCTATTTTGCTGAACAATTGGTATATGTGATGTTTGAATGCTCAGGGTCTCATTTCCAACAATATTCCTGATTTGTGAAGTAATGTTGGGTCCACCCAGTAAATGCTCACTTGTATTCCTGTTTTATTCCTGATGACTTTATTGTCCTCCTGGGTTTCAAAATCCTTATAAAGAGTATTAATTGAAGGCCCTTCAGATTTAGATTTCAGCAGATTGATGAGCCGCACCCACTGAGAGAATATCTCACTCTGCTTCTGTGGTGAAGCGCAGAGTTCTAGGTAGTAGGAGCGACCATTCACCAACTTAAGCTTCAGCCGTCTCTTACTTGCGGAGTGAACGGAGAGATCTACAAACTGCAAAGGCAGGAACCTGCAACAAAGCTGTCATATCAGTTTCAGAAAGGTAATATTTTAACAGTTCATTACATTGAACAGGACAGGACAAGATTCAGCAACAGTTTCAAACTGATTTAATTATTGATTTGGGTTGCATATAAACAAACATGTACAAAGGAAGACTGGCAAAGTGAGTGCATATAATAGTAAGAATCCATTTAATAGTATACATAATCCAGACAGATCTTCCAACTTCTTGAATGGTAAAATAAGAAAAAAAAATGTAAAAATGCATAACATGTTAAGGTACATTTCTAGTTCTGCACCATCTGGCAATCTAATTTTATGATGTTCCATGCACGTCTTTCCCCACATTACATTGGTGCCAGTTTCCATTTGGGCTCATCAACGCCATGTTACTTGCTTGGGCCATTTAAATACCATATCATCTAGACCAGGCCTGTCAAACTGGTGGCCTGTGGGCTGGATGTATCATGTGCAGGCCATGCCTACCCTGGCTCCACAAAGGCAAAAAGGTTCCAATATGTCATGTGACACGATCGAGTTTGACACCTGTGATCTAGACTATATTTTTCTATTTTATTAGGAAAACCATCCTCAGAAAAAATAGATACGGTTTTGAAGTGGTTTGCCATTGCCTGTTTCCTAAGGCTGAGAGAAAATGACTGGCCCAAAGTCACTCAGCTTCATTTGTGCCTAAAGTAGGAATAGAATCCACAGTTTTCCACTGTGCTGCTCCTCCAATCCATGGACGGGTAGCTTCTCCTTAGTTGCTGGGCAGAACTGAGTGCTGATCTCCTTCCTGCAAACTGGCCACGCCCACGCTGTCCAATCAGCTCCAGTCTTTCTCACTCAGTTGCTGTGAGAACTGGTTTTTCTGAGTGCTCTACAGTTTAAGCTAAATTTAATTCCTTCTTTATTATTTTGGTTTATTATTTTTGTCTCCTTCCCCTCATTCCTTCGTTTATTGAAACCACCAATTGATCTGAGGCTGTTGGGGCGCGCGCGAGCCTGGGGCTCCAGGCCGTAGGCCCTGCCTATTTGATTAGGCCAGAGACCTCCGGATTCGACCCGGCTGGGCGAATCCGCGTGGACGCCGTTGGTCGCCGCCATTGTCATCGAGGCGGTAGGTCAGGAGTCGCCACAACGCGAGTCACTGGCGACTCCGTTTGCATTGGGCGTAATTTAAATTGGCCGGGAGAGGAATGAACAGCTGAGAGACGCTTCGCGCGCCCGGCGCCCATATAGCCGCCTCCTTTGGAACTCAATTCAAATTGCCCGGGAGAGGAGCGAACAGCTGTGAGGCGCTTCGCGCGCCCGGCGCCCCTATAGCCGCTTCCCGCCGGATCGCAAATAGGAGAGGCGCCGCTACGTGGGCACGATCGCGGCTGTGTTGGCTTGGCTGCGAAGAGGAACGATCAGGCGCCAGGGCGCCCTTTGCCTTCTGTCAGCGTTTCCCGCCGGGGCAGACATCGGAGAGACGGCCGCCATTACAGAGGCGGCGGCGGCCATTTTGTGAGCGATTGCGGGCCCTTACAAAACCCAGGGATCGCTTTAGTGGATATAAATAATTTCAAGGCTAATTTTATCACGGGCTTGAGCTCAGCGGCTTCTGAGCCTTTGACCCACTTCTCCAGGGACTTATTCAGGGTGGGATTTCCTACCTTTACCACCCTGTGTTGAGGCCTTTCTGCCCTAAAGCCCGAGCTCAGCGACTTCTGAGCCTAGTGCTGCTTAACCTGTGGGACACTCACACTCAACTGTTGAGAGTCCTGGTCAGTTGACTTATTTAGTCCTCCTGTCAATCGATATGGCGGATATTCCTCTATCCTCAGATTCTGAGTTAGACTGCTCCCCTCCACGACCTCAACAGCAGGCTCGTGCAAACAAGACCAAGACCAGACAGCGCAAAGGGTCTACAAAGGCTGAACAACGCAGACATCAAATTTTGGAGAAACAGTTTGAAAGGGCACGACAGGAGTTATCGACTCAGGGACAGCCCTCCACCATGGATGATGGAGCAGGTCATTCCAGAGCCTCTCAAGTGAGGTCCAATTCAGGCAGAGAGGCTTTGCAACCCCCTTCCAATCTTTGCCACTCCAGGGGTGTGTCTATGTCACTGCCTGATGTGTCACACCAATCCATACCAGCCTGTTCTTCTGCTCAACGCCGCTTACCTGAAGCGACCTTTACACCGACGGCTGCTGGTCTTCGACCTGAAACATCGGACAATCCAGTTAATTTTCAAGCAGCCTTGTCGGATGCGTTAGCTAAGATTCTGGCAGCTGGAATACAGCAGGGAGCAGTGGGGGTTCCTGCCGGTTCCAGCGCGTGCTGAACCCAGACCTGTACAGGTGGCTACTCACCGGAAGGATGATGATTCCTCGGATGAATTTGAATCGGGAGAGATTTGCCCGGAGGACGTTGAATTTTCGGAGGACGAGGGACTTCCACCGGATAAACCGGTCTTCACTAGTCTCTTCCGTCCTTCTGTGTTTAAATCATTGCTCCACAAAGCCAAAATTACCACAAAGTTTGGCATTTCGGAGCAACCGGACAGTACTTCTCAATCATCATCATCGACACCACATGACGCTCTTTTTCACGTGTCAAAACCAGATCAAGACGTCATTCCTTACCCACCGTTATTCTCAAATGTTATCAATTCTGCCTTCGGCCAGCCTGGCTCCTTATCTTCACCCAGTGGCATTGACAAACGGCTTTATGCTTCCGCAAAGGAGCTGGAAGATACGTTGGCCTTATCTTTGGTGGACTCCCCGGTGGCTAGTCTGTCCATCTCTTCTTTATTGACTTCAGACATTGTGGATGGTCTCAGGGCTGAAGACCGTAAAATGGAGCTCGGATTTCGAAAAGCGCACCAAGCGGCGGCTTGGGCAATAAAGGCGGCCACAGCAACATCATTTTTTAACCGCGCTGCTTTAATCTGGCTCAGGCAATTGCAGGAGAGATTACCTCCTGATGATACACGGCTACATCAGGACATTAATAAGTTAGTGGCCGCAACGGAGTATTCGGCCGACGCCTCGCTCACAGCGGCCAAATTCGCCTCCAGATCCATGGCAGCATCTGTGACAAATCGCCGTTTGTTTTGGCTCCGTAACTGGAGGGCGGATGCCAGAGCTAAATGGAAGTTGGCGTCAGCCCCCTACTCAGCTCCTTCTCTCTTTGGTGCCGCACTCGAACCTACCTTGATAGAAGACAAGGATAAACGCAAAGTCCTTCCGTCCTCCTTTCGTAGACCTGAAAGGAGATACACACCTTATTCTCAGCGTCAGCCCTTTCGGCCCTACTCAGGGTCAGGCGGACCCTACTTGTCTCAACCATATTTCCAGTCTTCAGATAGGACCACCGACAGGCAGCAGTTCCGAGACAGGTCCAGGGGCCAGTCCCAGCCAAAGCACCCCTTCTGAGGATCCAGTTACCGGCAGGCTCGCAGGGGCAAGTGACGCCCCCGAGTCAGGTCCTATTGGGGGTCGACTCCAGCACTTCCACCTCCAGTGGGACCTTTCAACATCAGATGCCTGGATCAGGTCCACAATCCAGCAGGGCCTTCTCATCGAATTCCACTCCACTCCACCCATCAGGTTTCGCACCTGTCCTGTCCCACATTGTTCACTAAAGAGGAAACTCATGGACTCGGAGATATTCCACCTTCTCTCAATCAAGGCGATAGAGCCGGTGCCCCAGGGACAGGAATGCACTGGATTTTACGCTACCTTGTTTCTGGTGCCCAAGTCATCGGGGGGTCACAGAGCCATCTTGAACCTAAAAGGACTCAACCGATACGTTCGGTATCGCAGGTTCAAGATGCAGTCTCTTCGTTCGATTCTGACGGCTGTCAGACCCAACGACTTTCTACAATCTGTGGACCTGCGCGAGGCCTACTTACATGTCCCAATACATCCGGCCCACCGTCGTTACCTGAGGTTTGCCTACAACAACCACCACTATCAATACCGCGCGATGCCTTTCGGGTTATCATCAGCACCCAGGACCTTCACCAAACTGGTGGAGGTAGTGGCAGCGGCGGTCAGGACTCACGCAATCCGCTTAATGTGTTACCTAGACGATATCATCGTCATGTCGCCTTCCCCGGATCAAGCAAGGAAGGACATGGAGTTGGTGTTGGAGACATTCCAGGCCCACGGTTTTTCCATCAACCGTCAAAAGAGCCATATGTCCCCAACGACCCGTCTCCAACATTTAGGAGCGATAATCGATTCACAACTGGGCCAGGTCTTTTTGTCCCCGACTCGTATTCAGGACCTCAGAGCGATGGTCAGACAGGTACAGGACCAGAGGAAAGTACCTCTACTCCTCTTATCACAACTGCTAGGGAAGATGGTGTCCTGCATATCCATCGTGCTGTGGGCTCGCAGGCATGCCCGCCCCCTGCAGTGGCGACTACTTCCCTTCCAGAGACAGGGCCGCAGCACCTCCAGTTTTCCGATTGTCTTGCCTCCTCAGGTTCGCCTATCTCTTCGGTGGTGGAGGTCTCCCGCACTTCAGAAGGGGTGTCTGTTTCTCGAACCCAACCGACTGGTCCTGACATCAGACGCAAGTCTTCGGGGTTGGGGTGCTCACTTACAGGACGCGGTGGTGCAAGGTCAGTGGTCTCAGGCGGAGCAGGCGAACAGCATCAATTGGCTGGAATTGAGGGCTGTTCGTCTCGCATTACGCCACTTCCGTCACGTCCTAGAGGGACAACATGTGCTGGTCCGAACGGACAACATCACCACCAAGGCACACATAAATCGGGAGGGGGGCACACGCTCCAGGGCCTTGATGGTGGAGTCCGAGAGACTGTTAGCCTGGGCGGAGCTCCACACAGCATCTCTGGTGGCAGACCACATTTCGGGACAGTCCAACGTGATGGCAGACTGGCTCAGCAGGGAGCACATCGACCCTGCGGAGTGGAGCCTGAACCATACCGTCTTCGAGCAGCTGACACACAGGTTCGGCCGACCTCAGGTAGACATGTTTGCAACAGCCCAGAACGCCCAACTACCCCGCTTCTACTCACGCTATCCAAGCGCACGATCAGAGGGCAGCGACGCGCTACGTTGCCAGTGGCCCACCGGACTTCTCTATGCCTTTCCCCCAATTCCTTTAATCCCTCGCTTAATTCGGAAACTGATCCGAGAAGGTGCAGAGCTGTTGCTGATAGCCCCGCTGTGGCCTCGGAGACCCTGGTATGCGGATCTACTGGAACTCTCCATCGTCCCGCCTTGGACGTTGCCGGTCCAGACGGACTTGCTAAGCCAGGGGGTCGTCGTCCACCCAGATCCGCAGTGGCTCCGATTAACCGCCTGGCGTTTGAGCGGCTCCAGTTACAGAAGGACAGACTGTCAGTTGGGGTCATCTCTGTGATTCAATCAGCCAGGCGTCCCTCCACGACACGAATTTACGAGGCTTCGTGGCGTGCCTTTACAACTTGGTGCTTAGGACACCATGTGGACCCGACCGCTCCAGATATCCCAGATGTGTTGGACTTTTTACATGATGGCCTCTCCAAAGGACTCGCCCCAGCGACGTTGCGACGCCAGGTGGCTGCACTTTCCACTGTTATCGTCTGCGAGCGCCACCGCACTCTTTGAATCCCAGAATCCGGGCGTTTTTGCACGGTGCCACTAACATCTCACCACCTGTGGTGCATAGGTACCCGTCATGGGATCTTCCACTAGTTCTTAAAGCTCTAACTTCAACACCGTTTGAACCTTTAGCATCTATATCTTTGAAATTTCTTACCTTCAAAGTCGCCTTTCTCCTGGCGATTACATCCGCGCGGCGGGTGTCGGAACTCACCGCTCTATCCATACGCAAAGAACTCTGTATCTTTCACGGCGACAGGGTCGTCCTGAGGTTAGACCCAGCGTTTGTACCAAAAGTTAATTCGCTGTTTCACAGAACCCAGGAGGTGATAATACCCGATTTTTGTCCGAATCCTCATCACCCGTCAGAGATTCTATGGCACACTCTGGACGTGCGTCGCGCACTTCGTCGCTATATCAGGCGTACAGAATCCTTCAGACAAACAGAGGCATTGTTTGTTTCCTTTCATCCTTCTTCAATGGGACGGAAAGTATCGACAGCTACCGTAGCTCGCTGGATCAAGGCCTACATAGCAACTGCCTACAGCGTTCAAGACCGACCTCGTCCTTCACATATTTATGCTCACTCTACTAGGAGTGCGGCCGCCACGGCAGCTTAGACTACACAGGCTTCGGTTCTGGAGATTTGTCGGGCGGCTTCATGGTCCTCCGCTTCGTCGTTTATTCGACATTATAAAATTGATTCGTATGCTTCTGCTGAAGCTGCCTTTGATCGCAGGGTTTTACAACAGGTGGCCACAGCCCAGGACTCTGAGAGCAGACAGCCCCCTCCCTGAGCAGTGAACTTGGGTATATCCCGTCCATGGATTGGAGGAGCAGCACAGTGGAAAAAGGACGTTGTCTCACCTGAACGTCCATTTTCGATGTGCTGCGACTCCAATCCATACCCTCCCTTGGGCTTCTGCTAGGTTTGGACTTCTGACAGTTGTGTTTGTTGTTCCAGTTTGAGTTATTCAAGTTTGAGTTCTGGCGCCTTCGTGAGGAAAGACTGGAGCTGATTGGACAGCGTGGGCGTGGCCAGTTTGCAGGAAGGAGATCAGCACTCAGTTCTGCCCAGCAACTAAGGAGAAGCTACCCGTCCATGGATTGGAGTCGCAGCACATCGAAAATGGACGTTCAGGTGAGACAACGTCCTTTTTGCGTTTTCTAGCCCGGTGTCCTAACCACTACTTTTATTTTATAACATAGTTTCTCCAAATCAACTTATGGTAAATAACTATATTTATTTTTATTTTTTATTTATTTATTTTATTAAATTTCTATACCGCCTTTCTCCCGAAGGACTCAGGGCGGTGAACAGCCACAAGATAAAACACATAAATACAAAAATTTAAAATAGATTAAAAATGAATTAAACAATTTGGCTGAATTTAAAATACCCCATAATTTAAAACAAATTAAAATTTATATTAAAAATTTATATTTAAAAGGGGAGAAGATTTAGGCCAGGCCAGCTTGATGAAATAAAAAAGTCTTGAGCGCGCGACGGAAGGTGCGCAGATCCGGGATCCTCCGTATCTTCGGGGGGAGCTCGTTCCAGATCATAGGTGCCCCCACAGAGAAGGCTCTCCCCTTGAGGGCCGCCAGTCAACATTGTTTGGCCGACGGCACCCAGAGGAGCCCTTCTCTATGGGAGCATACTGGCCGGTAGGAGGCTATTGGTGGTAGCAGGCGGTCCCGTAGATAACCAGGTCCTATATACTTGAGTATTTTTTTTTAGTGGTTAACTCACCTGGTGAGTACCAGTTCTTCTTTAGAATGTGAGGGCTGGGTAGATGGTGGATAGGCTGAAAGGTTTTCTTTGGAGGAATAGGGAGATGAATTGGCAAGCAGCATTACATTTGGCATTGACAATTTTGTGCTAGAGGCACATATGCCTACAGTCACATAGTTGGGACGATTATGAAGGTAAATTGATCCACCTTTCCTATTTACCTGAAAAAAAGAGAGAAAAGTTTGTTCCAAGCATAATAAAAAGTACAGTGAACAGAAACTAACATAATTTTGGCATGCAAGTGAATGACGAAATTTTTTTTAAAAAGCATTCTAGCAGAGCAGGGGGAAGTAAAAGATGATAATAATGGTTAAAGTATATGAATGAACTCAAAATAGATACATTCTTGAAAAAAACCATAAGTTATTAAAAAAAAATTATCAGGATGATGAGTAGTTATTCATATCGTCGCCACATGAATCCACCTCAATGGCTCGTCAAAACAGAATTAGCATATGAAATGATTAAGAGTTATAAGCAAGTGTTAAAGCACAGTACATGAAGAGAATTATTTATGGGAATTAAATAATTATAACAAGGTCCATTTGTTGGGTGGAGCTGAAGAGTACATTAGTTCCTGGACAATGACCTGCTTAGCTATTATACAACTGGCAAGGTTGCTTACCAAAACATTAGAATTATGTTTCGATAATCACCCCAAAGAGCATATATACAGTATAATGCTAAAGCTAAAGCATTGCAGCATTAGAATAGCTACATGACTTTTATTTATTCTAAATTTTATATATAAACAGACACGTATCTCTTAGAAATTGAGTCTAAGTAATAATATAGTAATTAATTAGTAGCTATTTTTATTTAAATTGAGTCTTAGAAAATGGTACAGATTTCCACTGGTAAAGCAAATCTATACCATAGGGTTAATTTCTCTCAAGAAGGGCCATAATTGGCACACTAATTTAAGCCAATACATTTTGTATTCTTCCTTGAAGGAGAAAGAGGAGGCTTCAATGGAAAACCAGGAGACCAAACCTGAGGTCTTCAGCCAGAACTGATCCCTTAGCATTTAACTCCACCACTTTCTCCAAGATCAAAGAGCTGAAAAGAGGCTTGCCCTAATTATGAAATTATTCCTTGAGGTTAATAGGTTGCTTAAGAGTAGCCACTAGACAACTCTCGTCAGCTTAGTCCAGTGGTATTTCAGCTGCCTATTGCAAAAGAGCCTGTGGCAAGCTAGTCAAGCTGCTGGAAGTAACAGTTTGACAACATTTCATGTCCAGATACCCTGAGCATTATGCTTATTTAGATTATGGAATTTTTGCTTGTTTAGCAATGCTTTTCAATTGCGTTTCACTCACTGACAGCTTGATCACTATGTTTAGCAAGTTTTAGTGACCCGAATTGCACATTTTCTGATCTTGGCTAGCTCAATATCTTTCCTTCCCTTCCTCCCCTGAACTCAAGGCACAGAAATTGAAAATTGTCCCCTACGCTATAGCAGTTTCTTGAGACATCAACCCATAGCATTGCATAATCCTTTTCTCATAAGAATTTGAAAGGGACATCTAAGCAAATTAGTCAAATTTCTTGCATAAGAATTCAAAGTAAAGGATCTGAGAAAAGCAACCATCAAGATATGAATCAGACCCTCTATTAGCATTAATACAGTAGTTTTGATGTCTTTCCTGAGCTGATTAGCTGCTAACTGGAGAGGTTCAATTTATTCAGTTTTGACAGAATTAAGTTTCTTAATATGGACCAAACCAAACCAAATTAAACTTGATTCTAGGGAGCAATTTATTAATAAGAGTACCCTTGGGGGTTAAAGAAATAAATAGTAATGCTGGGTGTTGCTGCTTTGTTTTTTGTTATAGATTTTTTTTAAAAAAAAATTAAAAGGCAACTATTGCACATTCAAGCAATAGTTACATGATCTGAGTAACAAAGGATGCATGGCTTGTAGACTAGGATATGCAAACAAAATATTTCATATGCTTTACATAGAATGCAAACCCTTTGTGCATGTTGCACTTTTGATTTAATGCATACAGTGCCTGGATGACTTGAGCAGCTTTATACTGGGAATGAAAAGAAGAGAGGACAGGAGGGAACCCTACGAGGATCCAAAGCTTAAAAGTTTCGGGGTTTAGTAATGAACCTTAAATTTGGAATGGGCATGCTGCTTCAGTAGGAAATGGAATTGCTGCAAAACTATATAACTACTCATAAAGCCTATATATAAAAAAAGACATTGCAAACGTCTATGAAAATAAATATAGAAATCTATTGGCATTAAACAATATTAGTCTTGAAGATTGATAAAAAGGATTTAATCCAAATTGGTTGAATTGAATTGAATTATTGGAATTCTCAGTATCCAAAGTGGTTTCTTAAAAATTTAGTTATTTCTTATTTCAAGGCAGAAAGGAAAGAATGTTAAACAATTTCTCTGATAAAAGCTACTTAATCCTGCTGTCCTATATTGATATTGAGGGAAAAGCCTGAGGGAACAAGTGGTAGGATAACCTTTCCATCAATGTTTCTTACTTTTTCAGTCCCTGTAATTGAAAATCTTTCTACCAATTAAACAAATGCACTTCAAAAAATAAATTACCTGAACAAATTTACTTTCAAATACAGGAGCAGATTTCAAGGGAATATATTCTCCTCTGTCAAGAACTTTCTGAAGATCTCCCATAGCAGGTTTGCTGATTTTGTAGGTTGTGTTTTTAAAGCTTTTAAAAGTGGCAGCTGCTTATTATACCTAAACACAAGACAAGAACAAATGATACTCTTACAGAAGAACTATTTACTAATGGATATACTGCTACATCCACTATTTCAGACTATTGGTGAGAGTGCTATGAAAACATTGATTTTCAAACCTTTTGAAAGGCTTTTGAAAGAAAATGTGATTTCTGTAAACTCTGACATCTGGACAGGGTAATGTTCAGACATGTTATTTTAGAGATACTTGCTGCCATTTTGCTCCATCTGTACAAAGATGGAGTTAATGATTCAGAGATGAGTGATTGCTTTTGAGGGCTTTTTGATAACTTCACTTTTTAGTTTGTAATTTTAATCTCTTTTTATGTTTTATAATTGTTTTTATTTCTATGTTTTTTTAATAAGCTGCTCAGTGTAACCTCACTGAGATAAGCCAATATAAATTTGATAAAGTGAGCCACTAAAATGATCTAGGAAAGGTAAATTATTATATGAGGATTAAGACTTGGCAATATAAGAAGAGATTTTAGTAGTCTCTTCTGAAAAGTTTCAGCAGTTTTGGAAGTGATACTCTCTGGGGAAGCCAAGCCCTGCAGCAAATATATAATGTATTAGGACAGGTACTCAGCAGTAGACTGAACTGAATTCAGCAAATGCTCTTTTGGATAACTTTAAGCATCATTCACAGAGAATTTCTCTATAGAGCCATGCATTTTATAAAGCATGTTCGGTTTGTTTATAGAGAAATGGGCAAATTATTACTTATTATATGCAGTTTTCAGTGTATAGTGTATGAATTTCACCTTAATATATATTTGCTGAAACAGAGTTTTTAGTTATGGTGTTTTCAAGTTCATATATTGGTTTGAAAAATAGGTTTTTGTTGGATAAGGTCACATAGAAAATTGTACATGGTAAACACATTTTTATCATTCCTGTTTTGGATTTAAGCAACTAATAAGTCAATCCTCCATAAGCAGGTAAAGAAATTTTCATTATTGAGTTTTAAAACATTTTTTAGCCTAGAATTAGAAAGATGGCAAGTAAACATATATTATATGTATATCTGTTACATCCCCACAATGAAAAAGTTACCAATTTCTAATAATGTCTCCCCTTAAAAGGAGTTCCCATTAGGGGAGCAGGGTGGAACTTATTCAAAGAAGTAGGGAAAGCAAATGAAACCATATGATCAAAACTTCGTCATTTTTTAACATATGTCCCAAATGCAATGCACAAAAAGATGCCATCTTAAATTTTTGGACCCCCACAGTGGATGGCTTGGCTACTAAATCTTATTTTCCTTTCTCTTTTTATAGGCCATTGGATTGCTCAAGATGAACAATTAAAAGAAACCCCAACAACACTCTTCCCCAACAGTTTGTAATAGTTCATTAAAGGTCCAATGGTCCAATAAAGGTCAAGAAGCAAGTGCTCCCTTATAGCATTTTCCAAACAATCATTGACATTCAGAAGTGAGATAAAGTTGTGTCACAATAGGAGCATATGCAAAACAGGATAGCTTACCTGACATCATGCAGTAAGGTGTAGCTAGAAATGACAGGTATCCGTAAATATAAGAATCATGGAACTGGTTGTTAGGAAATGGCTACATGTAACCTCTTTTTGATGCAGTTGCTTTCTCAGTCCATGGCTCTTTTTAATTTTTGTGCGAGAAACTCCAAAAAAAGCAACTTCCCTGTTATCTGATATTATTCATTAGCTTTGACACAATATTTAATACTAGTTCTTTATACATTCTGTTTCAGCACATACACATTTACAGTACTTCAGAGTGAAATATGTTGAAGAGCAGAATGAACCAAAATATCAACATTATCAGTTGTTTTTGACAAATGCTAGAAATGAAGAAAATAAATACTGAAATCCTTGAGACAGCATATGGTCAGTAACGCATAATAAGCATTATCCCTGCACATTCTCATAATTGGATTGCATTGTGGGATTCTTAGAAGCATACCAGGTCCACTGCACAGTTCAGAAATTATTACCAGATACAATTTTAAAAAATGATCTGAATAGGGATGTGAGAAAGAACAGCTGAGGACATTTAATCTCTGGACTATCTTCAGTGTTGAAGATTACAGGCAATTATCTTGGCTCAAATTGATGATAGTATTATTTAGTGGCAACCTTTTAATGATTCATGTTGAAGAACACAATGAAAAATTATGGTGTGTGTGTATCTTACCGAGTCATTCAGGGTTCTAAGTCCTAAATATGCTTACAGAATTAAGATGGGCCATAATCAAAAATCTAAAAGTTCACAATATTAAGATTAACAGCATTTAGAATGTGCCATAGTAAAATTAATCAATATACAACAGAATTCTTACATAAAACTGTATAGGTTGTCTGCATGTTCCTGGATTTTTCTCTGGACAGGAGCAAACAGTGGATACAAGGAAAAAAAGATTTGAAAAATAAACCAACCTATCCAGTCCCATCATGTTCTGAGACAATAATGCCTTATTAGCATATTTGTGTCAGACAAAGGAATCACTACAATGTTTGCTTAACCTTTTCATGGTGAGAGAAGCAAGTGTTTTCTCCAAGAATCAGCAAAAGTTAAGTTCCTGAGTATGTTTGGAAAGGTAAACATTCTTGTATACTAGGCACAGAGTCAACATCATTTGGCTGGGTAAACTTCAGCAAAAAAGATTAAAGTATCTTTAAAAGCAAATCTGTAAAGTAACAGCAGTTTAGTTCTTATTAAACTCTTGCTATATGTCTGCAGTAATTGTGCATTCACCACATCCTTAATTTCATACTTTACTTCTGTGGAATAGATTCTCAATAGAAAGTTAGCTCAGTTATTTTTTAATATGATTTTGATAAGGATACAATTAAGATTTCCTAGATGAGCACAGGGTATATTGTAATTGTAGTAAATTTTGCGGTGGTCTTTGTTATTGTCCAGAATCCCAAGTAGTGTCTTCCAATCGTAGATCATTACTGCAAGTTTTTGCAAGAACTCTAGGGTTTCATTGATGTAAAGTATAACTTTACAACTCTTCAACAACACAGCTAATGGAAAATGTCTTGTTCTTGTAAGAAAGCTTCTTGTTCTTCTAAGAAAGACTTAGATGAGAAATTTACCTGACTATATCTTCAGTTTGAGTGAATTCTTGGGGGGGAGTGACAAGCAAAAAAGCAGCAGAAACACTAAAATGGTTTTCTGAAGGAATCTGGTTGAGAGAACCTCAGTTGCAGGTCACAGATTGGGTGCTTGGAGTATGTATATTGCTAACTTCTGTTTTTCAATCTCACCTCCTCCACCATCCAATCCTGCAAATAATAGTAATTTCATTTAAACAGAGTTGCTCACTCTGCTTTTCTCCAGTGCTGTTGTTTGCCTCCACCTAATAGCACAACTCTTGGTCTGAAAATGGGAGCGGACAGTGACATTCAGTACAATCTTCATCTTGTATGTTATAGATAACATACTACTTCCATCCAGCCATTTCAAGTGTTATAGCATTGACAAGATAATTGTATTTTTGACCCTTGTGGTTAAAAAATATGTCTCTTGCAAATATTGAAAGTTTTTGGTTATATGCAAGTTGTATCTCTAAAAGTAAGCCAATGGTTCTAAAAGGTTGCATTCTCAGCTTCCTTTCTATCTTCGATTATTTTTCAAGACCCCAAAGCACTGTGTAGAATACATCTAATTTAAAAAATCTGTTTTTCCTCTTTTCTATTTGTCTTAGAAAGTTTGTGCTAATAATTCTGATTCAACAGATTTATATGTTGGCTCACATGAATGCTACTTTGTTTCTTTAGGTAAAAAGTGAGAAAGCTATGCTGAAAGAAATTCAAAGCTCATGACTAAATGGTTTTCTTGGTACAAAGAAAGTTCCAAATGAAAGAAATTTCCCACAAAACATAGATGACTAAGTTTGGTCATGTTTGCCTGGGCTTACAACCTCCTAATTTTTTAGAGGAAAGAAGCAATAGTTAGTTTTGTAAATCACTGATATTCAGGTGTTATGATGGAAGGACACTTTCTGCATATTAATATTTGAGGTGTTATACTTATCAAAGACTATAGAAGATTAGTGAATGTGATCCGTTAACAAAGAGAAGTGAAACCTTTAATCTCATCAAGAAATAAAATAAAAATTTCAAAGGCAGAATTTGATCACGTTGATAACACATCTTTTAATATTCCATTTAAGATTATGGGCATTCTTAAGAATAAATGGCTAAGAGCTTTGCTTTCAAACTCAATCAACCACATTCTATTTTCACTTTTCTCTGACAAATGAGTTGCAGAGTTTATTATTTTAACTCTGTAAATTATTTTAATAATTTTCACAAAGCACTAAAGCACTTTCAGATGACACTTTTCAGTTCTAATCAGTTCCCATAAGGGTTGAACTGGTGACATGAAAGACTGGCATCTATTAGGAAAACTCGTACTGTAGCCATCAAGTTCTCTGAAAATGAAGTATTACTTCTTTTATATATGACATAAAGGCTGACAAAATTTAATATCCTTCTGCAAGAGAAAATGAGAAACATAATTGTTATAATAATGCCTTAGAAATAGGTCTGGGGGGAAAGTGATTATTCATTCTGTTCACACACACATTTTTTTCACACATAGGTGACTTCTTTAGTGATCTAGAAAGGATTTTGATACCAACTGATCCATAGAGAGAGAAAGCACAGTAAATTTTAGAACTGAACAAGGGATGCTAACAAAGAAATCTTAAGAAAATGTAAAGACAAAAAAATATATGAAAGGACATGTTAGAATTAAATTATATTATTTAAAACAATAACACTATATTTTTTTATCCTAATAGCACATCATCTAGAAAATGGGTGGGGGACCAATGGTCCCCTACATATTGGACTACCAATCTCATCACAATTGATAATGGACTGCTAAAGACTATCAACTGGAAGACCATATACTTTCTGTCTTGATCTAGAATTAAATACTATAGATCCCTTAAATTCTGTTAAAATTGAACTATTATCAACGTATATAAAGGATGACAGTATTTGAACATTATTTATATAGATAATCCTTGACGTATGACCCATTGAGCCCAGAATTACGGTTATGAATTGTTGTGATTATAAATCAAGACATCACGTGACCGGACCTGATTTTTTTTGTGGCAGTTGTTAAGCAAATGCAGCAGTCATTAAGTGAATGCCACAGTCATTAAGCAAATCAGTTGTTCCCAATCTGTATTATTTTGCTCGAAACTGGAAGTGAATGCCAGAAACCAGCCAAAAAATTACAGCAAATTGCAGTCACATGGTCATGGGATGCTGCAAACAGCTGTAAAGATGAGTCATTTACCAAATACTCAAAATGTGTTCCATGATGGTCGTGATGGGGGTGGTGCAGCCATCTAACTGCACAGTTGTAATTGACCAATTGTACGTCAAGGACTAGAATAGCAATAGCACTTAGACTTACACACCACTTCGCAATGCTTTACAGCCCTCTCTAAGTGGTTTACAGAATCAGCATATTGCCCCCCAATCTGGGTCCTCATTTTACTGACCTCAGAAGGATGGAAGGCTGAGTCAACCTTGAGCCGGTGAGAATCGAACTGCCAAACTGCAGTAGCCCACAATACTGCATTCTAACCACTGTGCCACCACAGATGTACTACCTATATTGACCTGTAGCTATTAAGAAATAACAAGTTCTTTTTCAAGACCATTAGCTTGTTTGACATCTTCAGCGAGGGACCTTCTGCAACCTGTTGTTTTTTCCCAGAAATTAGATCGGTATTTCTTAACCTCAGCAACTTCAAGATGGGTTGACTTCAACTGTCAGAAGTGCCCAGCCAGCATAGATTATCAACTATCTATTTTGCTCCTCTCACTCAATGTTACATCTTTCCTTCCATTCATATACAGTGTTTCCCTATATAGTTTCTCTATATAATTTCTCTATGCTGAATAAGTGGTCAGTACATAGTTTAACATTAATTATTTCATCAAATTTCTGCTGTTTTTTTAAGCCTTGCCAAAGTGGCCTGACTTTTGTTATCTCTCTGATGATTTTCCTGATGGCAGTTGCAATATCAAAGCTAATGTGAAGTTAGTAAGTAGTTGTTTAATATAATTAAGGTATTAGTGATAGATGTCTCAAGGGTGCGTTTTTTTTCAAAAGGCATCTTTTTCTTTGAGCAAGAAGACACTTCTCATTCAAAAAAACTTCATCAATTGTGACTATATGATGGGAGAATGGAATGATAGGTTCTGACAGGATGGTGGGGCGGAATGGAAGGATTACAGTCATCTGGTCATTAACACACACACTGAAAGTCATTGAGTCCACTTGGGAGTTTATCTTTGCTGTGAATATGTTCCCTTAGAACACAATGCTCTATATAACTATTCAGAAATGAAAGAAAAGTAGAACTGCAGAGAAAGTATAACTGTAAGATATAAGGTGAAATATAAGCTAAGTTTCAAATAAGAGATATTAGTAAGCATAAGGAAGAGTCCTGTCAACATGTGTAGAAGAATAGCAAAAAACTTACTTTAGCACAGGAAACAGTGAATGAACATGCCAGTGTTGGCAAATAATCTTAGAACACTGAAGTGTGAGAACTACGAAATACAAACAGAAAGGCATTTTTAATGGGAGAGCAGAAATTTATAGAAATACACAGAAAAAAATCAGACTCAACAGTAACGATGATGCCCCAAAGAATCAATCTGGATTAAAGCCATTTGTAAAATATTTTTTTTGAAATACAAAATGAGATTAAGTAGTGATTTCTAAGAGTTATACAAATGTCTTTGTGCTATTATCAACAAGTTGTGATATTATCTTCATACGTAAAAAGATGTTTTACCTAATTTAAACAAAAATGAAAAGCATTGCATTTTTCTAAATCTGCATTTTTATAAGTATTCTGTTTAAGAAAGCACACTTTTATTTCTAATCTGGTTATGATGCTCAGTGAAGAGGGCAGATAAATCAAAGGAGTTATTGGAGGGGAATTATCTAACTCTGTCTAACTATTGACATTAAGCTAAACAGTGTTAAACTTTCATTACTCTACTTATTCTTCTTCTAGAGAAGGTTCACCATCATTGTTTGGCATATTCCCAAATGGAAATAGGTTTGTAGGCAGTCATGAAGTGCCATGGTCAATATCAAATCAGTTTTAAGTTCTACATTCTATATTGAATAGTATTTTTACTAGTCTTAATTCTAGTCTAGAATAAAATGTATTTCTCATTTCACCATATTTTTACAGTTTATTAGCAATAAATATTATCTTAAGGCAAACTATAATTTATGTATCTCTTTATGGAATTTTAAAAAACAAGTATTTTAAGTAGTCATGAGAGCAATAATGCTATGTAGGTGGAAGACCTGAACTCAAAATATTTTTCACTACGCAGTATCCTGAAAGCAATCTTGCGGTTAGTTATCTCATACTGCATTTATTTCCTTCACTTCTTATTTAACACCTAGAAGTGTCACATTATGTAAATGACTATGGGTCAACTGCAATAGTGTTCCTGAGGCATATAATTTTTAAAATGTAGAAATATTCCATACAGTAGTTAAACATTTTCTTTCACTCATGTCAGTTTCTTAGATGATTTAAATCCTATATTTTTAAATTAATCTGTATTGGTGATGTTCATAAATCGTACTGTTAAAGTATCTTCCAAGGATTGCAGTTTTAAGATTACTCAAGAAAAATAACACAACCTTATTAAAACCTTTTAAATTCAAAATTTATGCATCAGCATTTTTTTTTCTCCAATATATTTGTGCTCATTTAATTTTTGAACCATGGTGTCCTTTCCCCAAGACTGAAAACAGGCTTAACACAATCACCTTTTAAATAATGATTCAGGATTTTTTTTATTCATTTAAATTTCAGTATCATTACAGAAAATGTTATGGTACAGAGTTGTTTAACATTAGTTTTTATTTCTTATTTAATTTCCACATGAATGCTGGTAACACTAATATCTGTACAAGATCAGTCTTTGATTTTTTTTTTTAAAGATTTTAATTCTGTACATTTTAAATGTATTGGTTAAAAAGGCTGTCAGCACTTAAGGAAGCAATTTTTTTGTTGTTGTTTGTTTAAACAAAAAGTATCCAGTTACTGCCCAATAGTACTGAGCTGGGTGGCTGCTGGGATGACAGGTATCCCTGAACGCGCAGCAAGGAGGAAAACCTTGGGGCTTGATCGGGTTCCCAGGGCAGCCACTCTGCTTTTGGCACTGTGCACATCAACACGAGATACGATAAAGAACAAGCAGAAGCTCTCGGTGAAGCAGTTATGAAGCATACTAATAAGGGAAAATCCAAGTGTTGTCTACACTAGTATAAATAAGCAGACAGCCTTGTTTTAAGAGCATAAGTAGTTGAATCTTAAAGATGAGAAAAAACACAAGTTCTGCAGGCACCTACCGCTGTCTACTAAAAGCTACTGCTATTGGAACTAGCATTGAACACACAAAGCAATTGCAAGAAATGAAAAAGTTGCTTTGATATAATCAGAATAAATTCTTTTAAGATTTGTTTTTGAAGTTTTTTTTAAAAGGTATTTATTTAAATCCATTTGAAATATAGTTCAAGGTGTTTATACTGATCAACTTTTATCCAATTCAGAAAAACTAGCTGTGCCGTTGCATATTACAGGATACAGTCAATGATATGTGGACATGCATCAAAACTTTTCTCCTGCTGGTAACATCATAGTCTTCCAATGACCATGACGTCAACCACCTCTCCCTTATGAAGTTCCACATACTGCTCTGTCTTTGGAGGTAGCATCAACAGTCCATTGGCACTGCGCATACTCATCAGACGACTGCTCATCTGATTCCCTATAGAAAGCAAAAAAGATTCATTAGCAGGACAAATGCCATAGGACAAGAAATGAATTGTCAGCCTTTCCCCCAGAATTCTTAAAGTGCAATATTAATTTCCATTACCAAACAGCATTATAATATGGGGTTGAACTGTCCCAATAATTGTCTCATAAAAAGATAACCTTTTTAATCTCAATGATTTTCCTTTTAAATTATCATCTTAGAATTGCATACTGGCCATGGATATGATAAACCCCAAAGTTAATAGGCCCAAACTACAAACCACCTTTTCAAAGAAGTCTTCTCCTGCAGT